TAGTACTGGGAGGTGGAAGCAATGGTCCTTCGTGCAGAGACAGCAACCATACTGAGACCCCAAAAGATTCCTACATATAGGTGCTTTAGGGCCCAAGTACACACTGTGAGTACATGGAACCAGCGAGCTTATGGACAATGCTAATGAGCCACTGGGCATCTGATGTTGCTGTCACAAAAAACACACGAAGACTTAGGGGCTGAGCGTGCAACCTTAAACATTTTGTGGCTTATATACTCCTACTATAATATTTCACAAAACTTGCTACTGCTTGGGCTAGGGTACTCAGCCACGAAGCGGATGAGTAAGTCCTGATTGAAGCCGCGGGATATCAGGAGCGCTGTGGCAAAACACGCTTCCAGCAGAGGCGCCCCTCTCCTGTCGGGCTCCTGCGTAGGATAACCCCACTTAGGGGATTTATAGCCCCAGTTATGGCCTGCGTACTAAGTCCCGTGATTCTTCAAGTTTAGGTTTCTTTGTTTTAGTGTCGTTGAGGCTGAGCTTTTTGGCCTAAGGGTTCTTATGACGATTCTTTCTATTCTGGGGTTTGGGTTGTGGATTTTTGTGCTGCTTTGGTTTCGTTTCGTGGTTGTTCTTTGGTCGTTAAGGGCGTTTCGCTTGTTTGTCGTGGGTGCTAGTGGGCTGAATGTCTGTCTTGCAAGTGTTCGGGCTTCTGGTCTAATATACACTCCTGACTAATTATCTTTTGGGGGGGTCTTGATTTAAATATAACATCATATACCCCAAAACCCAGGCCTGTTCCAATCATTATGGCCACTATTTTCATGGTTTGGTGTTGAGGGCCCCTCTTCTGCACATCGTAAGTTTTGGCCGTTTAACAAGGTTTCGGAATCGGGTGCATCAGGGCTTAAAGCTGCAGCTCTTAGAAGGCTGTTTACGTTGCATTGTAAGGCCTTTGGGCGTCAAGATGCGTTTCACCGGGTTGCGTAGTAATCTAGCTTTCTGCTTGCATGAACCTTCCTAACCCCTAGATTTAACGTCCTAAACCCGAATCTAGCTTTCTGATTGTATAAACCCTAAACCGCCTCTGAGCCCTAAACTTAAGCTCTAAAGCCTAAAATTCATACTTAAGCCCTACATTTTAAGCCCTGAACCCCCCTGAGCCCTAAGCCATAAGCCCTGAGCCTTGAACCAGGCTCTCCAGACCTTGCGAAAGCTCCCCAGACCTTGCAAGAGAGTGTATCTCCTTCCTTCCATCCTTTTCTGGGTTCTAGTGAGGGAGCTTACCTTAAGTTTTGAGAATGGGCATGTATATACTACAGGTTCCTCACTATGGTAACTTTAACTACTTTCGGGTGGGGGTCCGACTATCCTAATATTCAAGGTACTCAAAAAGGCATCATAATTTTTGACAACCCCTTCTCCTTAACGAGTACCCAAGTTTGGATTTGGGCCGTTTGTCCGACGTGTGAGACGACCTGGAAAGCGAAACGCGACCCAAGTGTAGGTCCTGAGCTGTTAGAGGATTTAGGGAAATTTGGGCTTAGGGTTTTTATTCTTAGGGTTTCAGGTATGTCAAAATTATTTCCCTTCAGCCCTACACTCCAAAACCCAAAACCAGATCTGTTGGGTTGAAGGCGGTCGACAATGTGAGCAAGAGGGGGCGCCTGACGATACCCGACATTTCAAAACAGGAATCCTTTGTAACGGCCTTTCTGAAGCTTCGGAGAGGCTTCTAACAGAGCAGGGCTCCATTCTCCGGGACGAAGACCTAGTAGACTCTCGGACTCCGAATGGATAAACAGTTGGGCATTCCCTTTTAATGGGTGCATTGCAGTCGTTTGGGTTCTTGTTTTCTTTGGTTTGGTTTAATTTAAGGTTCAATTGTTCACGTTGCAGGGTCTATTCAAATTTTGCTGTTTAATTCAGACAAAGCTAGCTCTCCACTTGCGACATGGTCTTGTAGTGCACGTTGACCTAGCATGATTTCTCCCAAACCGTCCACTGCCACATAGCTGGAAACACAAGAAGACTAAACTGCCATGCAGCATGGGCTGTTGTGTGGACTGGGTAGAGTCAGGTATCAGGGTCACCCAAGCATAGAGCTTGCAGTCGTCTCCTCTTCATGGGAGAGGGGCCGCGGTGGCGACCGACGAACGGAGGGCAGCTCAGATGTAAGGATTTTAAATGCCTGTAGCTGCGCCTGTGGGGCAATGCCGCGCTTGCCCTCGCCGTCGCTGGAAAGCGCCACCTCATGCCAACTTGCCCAGTGTTTGAAGCCAACCGTAGGCCTCCCAGTGCAGCGCTCGCGCCCGCTTCGCTTCATTCCTGGCAACGAGGGGCACACGCCTCGCGGCCATGGGTGCGCCCCCGACCAGCGACGTGCAGAACAGATGCAGTAGCACTAAAAATGTCAGTTTCTCAGGGTCCAGACCTTATACCTGAATTGACTGGAGTGCCACCCTCCGACCCCCCACACGGGCCGGAGCCACCTTCCCGACCAGCGTCGCGCGGCTCCAAGCTTTCGGCTTCAGCGTTGCTTGCAGCTCTGGACCGACAGTTTCAGGTTTCTTTATTATGATCTCCATATAATGTTGGATTGAGGGTCATGATGTCCTCAACAAGGTAGGATTTTAGGTCCAGGGATGCCGGGACGCTCGAAGTCGCCCCCATGGCGCAGCCACGACCCGGACATGCGCCGCGGCTCAGATGCAAGTTACACCCCAAGATCCTCTTCGGACGGTGATCCCGTGTAGTGTAGGCATCGGTAGCAGAGATCATGCTCAAAGCCATGTTCGAAGAATTAACCCGTCGGGGTTGCAGGCGGAGGTGTACCGACTTCGGATTTGGATAGAATGGTATGCCTGGGGTGTGGGGCACTAGGACTATAGGACAAGCTGGAGATTGAACAAGAAATACAGGTCCTCGGATTATTTGCATTCGGGTCTTGGGCTGAAAGCTTTCGGCTTCAGCGTTGCTTGCAGCCCCCTGGAAAGCGGCGGTGACGTTCAAAAGTATCACCGGGGGCTGCGCAGGCTCATATGGAAGCTGGTTAGCCTCTTTTTACAGTGGGTTACGGTTAGTTTCACTTGTCGCGCACTAGGTTTCAGAGACTAGACCACACCTTCACCCGTAGGCAGTGGCTGTCCTCTATTAACTCGCGTCGGTCCAAACTCCATACAGGGTACCCTTCAGACCACTACCTGTTACTTACGGAAATTCAAGTAAAGCTAGCCTCGCGCAGCCCCAAACAGCCTCAGCAACCTAAGCTGAACTTTGCTGTTGGAACGCGGCGATGGCCGGACGCTCCAGTTCGCCGCCCTGGCGGCGTCAGGCTGGGTGGCGTGCCAGTGTTTTGCCGGGACGTCATAAAAGTCCCGACGATCGCCGTGCAGCTCAGATGCAAGTTACACCCCAAAACCCAATTTGTGACTGGTGATCCCGTGTAGGCATCGGTAGCCAAGATCATGCTCAAAGTCTTCAGGGGGAGGTGTATCTTTGCAAGTTCACTGTCAAGGTGTTTAGCTGATAGCTCGAGGCTGGAGCCGTATGTGTGGTGTGTGAGTTGGGGTTTTGGGTTTGGGTTGTGTGCCTAAGCTTGATGGCTGAAGTTTCAGGCCCATTGATGATGAGGGCTTAATCAACTCGCTCACGGTTTTAGAAAGCAATCAACACGGCCTTCACACTACTTGAGTAACCAGAAAGAAAAATCTGCATTGCAGCGAGGAAGAGCCCCATAGTCGCGGATCCGCAGCCCACCGTGCGCGGCTGGGCGAGGGCAGGAGCCGCAGTCAGTGGCCAGACTCAAGATCGGCTGTCCATGAGCAGTGCCGCACGTGGCCTTTTGCCGGATGTGTGGGTCTAGCACCGGCTTTCATTTCCTCTCCTTACGCGTGCTTCACAGTGGCCTCCGAGTTGTGCTGAACCTACATAAGGTACACGGTACACGTGGTAATTAGCATAAAGCGCGGCGGTATCTTCCTCCTTGTGGTTGTTGCGGCTATTTTTGCTGCTGCGGCATCCACATAGCCTTAAGCCTTAAACCATAGCCCTGAAGATCGCTGTAGCAGTGGTTGCAAGCACGGGCGAGCCGCTCAGATGCAAGTTGTGGGCTTCTGTTTGGGGCGAAGGTTGTCAGTACTCAGCCGTGACAACCGCAGATAAACAAACTCGGCTCCGGCTCTGCTGAAGTCTGCCACCGGAGGCGCGCGGTTGCAGGCTCAGGTTTTTATTTGTTTGTTTCATCGGTGCGGAGCCTCAGCCCACCATACAAACACGTTGGGGTGTCAATTTTAGAACCTAGGATTTCGGAAGAAAAACTCGGGTCTTCTGCGTGCTGGGTTAACTCCGCAGGCCTGAAGTCCAGATTCACGGGAGAGAATCGCAAACAAAATGAAGCCAACACAACAAGATCAAGCATTTGATCAGCCTTTTCGAACGTCTAAGTACTGCAGACCGCACGAAGATCACAAAAACAAATCATGACAAAAGGTAGGAGATTTACATATACACACAAAACATATCAAAACGAGCAACAGTCCAACAGGATGTAAACCAAAACATAAAGCAAATATAGTGCAAGTTCAATTAAAAGCAAGTCTACATGAATCAACAATGCATCGAAGGCATCTCAAGCAAAAAGTAAATATTCAGGGAACTTTCCCAAACTCCATCCAACCGTAAAAAGAAATAACATCCGCAAGATACACCCGGCAATTGAAGGATATCCGATCAGGATTCCGATCTGAATCCTTTCGTCCCCGCGCACGTCGACCGCGTCAACCGGAGCTCTGTTAGATCTCAGGCCATCATTGATTGAGGATATCACGCTTGCAGGGACATAAGATCTGGCTTGGTCTAGGCTTCAACTAGAAAGATCAGAACCAAGCCCACAGCAATCAAACTTTACACGTTTAGTTTTGCACTGTGACAAAGCGGTAAACGACAGCACTTTTCGAATCGTCGAAGTCCATTATTGCTTAGGCAGAGACACTAGGCTTCCACAAGGAGAACTCGATTCTCAGAAAGTTAGTTGGGATATGCCACGGTCAAAATGCACCAGGAAGGCAACAAATTTCTTGGGGAACTTCCGGAACTATGTGACTTTGGAGGATGCATGCACGAAGGCCTGGCAGAACGATGGCAGAAAGGAGTCAGATGTCGCACCACGCAGTCAGTCTCCTGTCAGAAGCAAACCAAACAGGTATTCGCAAAAGTTTTCAGCAGTTGACCAACACACAGAGATTCATTGGAAATGAACAAGCCCGAGACCCAAATCTAAATCAACGATATCAATCAACAAACTCAAACCACCCCAACATGCGCTAACAAACCCTTCAGCATGTACCGACAATCAAAAAGTCGAACAACAAATTTGGGGTCAGCAGTGTGCGCAAGTCGGGTTGAGGAGCCCTGGCAACATGCAAAGCTGACTCTCGCTGTGAGGGCTGGTGACTCCTGGACCCGGTTCTCTGGCAATGTTTGTTCGCCGGCGGTGAACTCAAACTTGCTTAGCGATGACCTATTCCAAGTTCTTTTAGGTGGTCAAGATCCGAATAGCCGGAGCTTCCGGCCGCTAGTGGACCCCGAAAGACTTACGAAGCGTGGTGTCTAAGGCCAACAGCCCCGCTCAAGGCCTTGTGCTGCAAGCTACAGGCGTAATACCATGGTCCTAAAATCCAAAGCCCTGAAATTGGAACTCGGAATTTGTATATTCTGAACCCTGAAACCTTACGCCTTACACCGTACTCCCTTGTAGCCCCGACACCTAAAAGGATTGCAAGTGGGTGGGGGGGGGGGGGGCGAATTTGCAGTCCAAATTTATGCACGTTTTTCTTGGGCTGGGGCGGGTCAATGAGGACAACAATCGTGATGGAACGCAAATCATCCGCTGTACATTCCGCCTGTGCAATGCCCTTACGGGTGCTGCCTAGAACTCTGTTAACACCCTGGCAGATGTGACAAAACTGTAAAAAACAAATCCATGTGGAACCCTCTTAATGAACCTTCCAGATCCCTTAAGACCCTTGGGACCTTTATATTGTCTTGGTGAAACCCTGGCACTTTCTCGCAGATCCCGGTGACCAGCCAAGGGCCATAGGATTGCGCGTGACTGAGAGGGTCCAGGGCGAGACACAGATCTTTAAATCGAAGCCGATTCAGTTTGAGGGGCAAGATAGAAGACGACTTCAGGGATGCCAAACGTCGCGAGCAACTTTGGTTGATTGTTTTCAATGGAATCGTACACAGCTTGTGTGGGCCCAAATACCCAAAACCTGAAACCCTGAACCTACCCGAGTAGATGCCAGCTCGTGACAGCTAGTGCCTTCAAAAACCGTAATGGAACCCCTTGAGAATGCCAAGCCTGCAACCACAAGCCCAGGAGGGTGCCGGGGATCTGCAGCTAGTGCTCCTGAATTTCGGGGAGAGCTCCGAGGCTCTGGCGGGGTGATGGGGAAGCTTTTGATGTTAGTGTTTGTTTTTGTTTGTTTTGTTTTTTTTGGAAGGGGGGGCGGGGCTCTGTGAGATTCTGGCGATTTTAGTATTTCCGCTGTTTGGGTTGTAAGGGCTTAGCAGGCTTGAAATTTAAAGGGTGTGTAGGGGTTTGGGTTTACATGGGTTTTAGATTTGTTCAGGGTCGCGCACAGAATTCACACTCCCGTCACACAACAATATATTGCATTGGTTCCTTAAGCCTACATCTTGGGCCCTTCATTGTTGATCCTTGATGACGGTTTCCTCGAGTTGCCTTCAATCCCCACGCAGTTCACGCACGGTTGCCGATCCCTAATGACTTTGTTTTGGAGTTGGTTTCAATCCCTGCGCAATACATGCACGGCCCTCCAAGCTCAAGCCCTGCCGCAATGACCCACCTCCGTCACTGCGTCTTAATCGGGCTCTGTACTGGGAATATCCAGGGTTGTCGGTTTGATTCTCCCAGGAGTGTTTAAGATGTAGGATCATTATGCCAGCCCTTTTGCTGCACATGATCCAACATATGGGAAGCAGCAAGCTTTGTAGAATATGACTATAAAAAAGCGGCTTGGGGCTTGTCTTGTATACGAAGTACGCGTATAGTACATGTACCACAGATAAGCCTCTGAAAAACAAAGCCCTGCCCTTGCCCCTCCCGGAAGGACAGGAACAGTAGAAGTTTGCCATTAAAGGAGGCCTGTTTATGATGTTCCGTAGAACTGGAGCTAGAATTTTTTTGGATGCGAAATCCCCAAATCCTAGATCTCATCTTGATCACGCTGAGCTACAAACCTCCAATCCTCAGTGCCTTTGGGGCACATTGAGTCTTACTGTCATCTTGGATCCATCCAGTTATTGAAGCCTGAAACCAGACCCGACACTGGCCGATGCCGTTCTCGTTGCTTCTGGCGGTGTTTGATTTCATACCTAAGTTTATGTGATGGGTACGGGTTTCATTTCAAGAGTCTTGAAGCAAGGGGCCTAGTAAATTTCGAGACCTCCAATACTGAATCCCTAGGCCCCCCGAGACACAAAAAACGTTCAATCAAGAACTATGACACGATCACCCTCACATATAGAGGCGTCCTCAACATGATTCACGGAATCACAAGTTTGAACTCCCGCAACCCTCAGCCCTTAATCCCGTGATCCAGTGTTGGAAGCTTGTTGGACCACCTGGAGCCTCAGCGTACTTCATCCGTGGGTAAAGCTGAGAATCTAACTTTTTGGTTAAGGTTAGCAAAGGCCCCACAAGCCCTATGAATCACCTTGAACTTGCGAGCCTCCAAGCAGGACGACATGACCCATCTTCTGCACACTGCGGCGAGCGGTTCACTAGCAGACGTGGAGGCCTCGTTGGGCTTCAGGGTTCTGAGAGGTTTACGAAAACTTGAGTTATCTCGGGTTGCTGTAAAAGATTATCAGAACTCTTTTTCCTGTCCATGAGGGCCTGAAAGCTTAAGCCAAGGCTTCTACCGAGACCCTCCAACTACCCTCGAATATACCACAAATACCCACCATTAAAAGCCATAAGGGCTCTATTAAAGGGGGGGGTCTTGGTATATAGCACTACTTAGAGGATCATGGGACTTAGTAACTATAGGGGTATAAGTAAGGTAACTATATACTTATAACTACTTATAACCCCAAGTAAGGTACTTATAACCTCACTTGCTAAGTCCCACGATCCTTTAAGTAGGGGTTGTATGGCGCCTCTCGTGGGGGTGGGCTGAGTAGGCAGACCGGTAGCTTATGTGTGCGGACGTCGGGCTTGGGGCGTTACGGTTGATGATAAAAATCCTGCATGACCCATAATAAGGAATATACCATAGTTCCCATAGTTCAGGGTCCTTAAGGTAATGCAGGATTTATATCATCAACCGTAGGACTTCGGGTTCAGGGTTTAGGCTTTGCGGCTTTAGGGCTTGGGGGCTTTGGGTGTGTAGTTTGTTGTTGGGTTTCAATTCTTTCGAGTGCAAGGTTCAGGCTGCAGGGTTTTAGGACGCAAGAGTTGAAGGTTCCGGGGTTTCAAGGTAGCGTTGAGGTGTTGAGAATTGGTTTAGTTTGGGGTTTGATGTTTTGTTTTAAATTTTCAGGGGGTTAGGGCTGTTATCGGTCAGCCGTCAACCTTACGCCCCCAAACCCCAAGCACCCTGGCATGGCATGTCCTTGCCGGCGCATGCTCGGGTCTCCTTATTCGGGGGAAGCCGATGGGCGTGCTTGCCGTTTTATCGCTTGTGACGCCTCCATGGCTGTTCCGCTATGGCTAGTACTTACTGCACCGCGAACGCTGGTCACGGAGCGTCGGCGATTGCGGGGCCTCTCTGCAAAGCAACATTCCGCGAAGGTTTCGACGCTGAGCCCTCCACACTGTGCGCAATCGAATGTTGCTTTGGTCGTGCTCCCTTCAGAGCGAACTTTGGCACCGAGCTTGAATGGTGAGCCAACTTTGACGGAAGTTTCCGAAAATCTTTGGCCTCTTGTCATTCGGTGCCTATAGGGTGTAAGTAGCCTCATGTTCCCTAGATCTACGAAAGCATTCCCGGCTTAGGTTTCGGCACGCCTTCGTGGGTCATGCTTGAGTTTGTGCGGGCCCAGCTACCTGCATGGTCCTTGTAGCGAGTCGCTGGCTTACGGATCCTACACCCCAGTATCCTGTTGCATCCTAGGTACCTAGATGCGGGATACTTTTTGAAACCCGGCGAGGCAATTTCCCATCAAAAGCTCGTACCATCCAGACACTGAGCCAAAAACCCTACCTGGACCGCAAGTAACCGACCAAGGAAATCAGGGAAGGTTTTATGGGGTCCAGGTAAGCCCTCAGCCACCCCACCCTTTGGGCACATAGTGTAGGTGATAGCTTTGGCCATGGGCAAGGCACTCCTTCGTTATCTTGGAAATCTTGTTTTGATTCCTACCTCGGAGCACCGGGCCCGTAGGTGGATCACATACATATTCTTGGGGTTTTGGGCTTAGGATTTAGTCACACATGTGCATGTAAGCATATTATAAGGTCACCCCGGTTAAGGCAAGCATATGTGGGTCCGAATAAGTAGCAACTAAGTAGTACTCATATCACCGTGACCTCAGCCAGAGACTCGAATACCCATATGCTAGCGCATATACCCCAAAGTCTAGGGGTTCGTAAGTCTGATGAGAGGCGCAAGAGGGTTTAAAGATGTCATGTAGGCTTGCGCGCTAGACCCTAAACGCTAGACTAAACTGGAGACAGGATTCCCCTAGGACCCCTTGTCTTTGTGCCACAGTCTGCCCTAAAACCCTTGTTCTCACCAGTTTAGTGCAGTGTGTTGTCCGCAGAGCATCTGGGATACCCTGTGTTGAAGCCAGTACCAGTTACAAGCAAAACATTCTAATCACTGAGCTTTACGTGCCCGAGCATTTTCAGGGTGCTATTCTGCAATTTTAAATTTGATTAAGCTTCAGCGCTTCACGCTTTGAGGGTTAATCTTTAGGGGTCGACGGGGGTTTTTACGGCATCAAGGCTAACTTCTCAACTTTTTGGGTGTCGCTAACGGGTTGAAGAGCTTGGTCCCTACCTTAGCATACGAAGACCTCGTTTTTTTGGAGGCTAAAAAGAGTGCAGCGACCCGACAAAAACGTGAAAAGTGAAGCTATGATAGGTTAGGTAGGTGCGGTTTGTGGTTCCGAGGTTTTGGGCTCTTACGCTCTCATGTTGCGAGGCAATCAACTCGATATCCTCGCCCATGTTCTTAACTAGGTGGCAATTCGAGAAACTTTTAATTTCCCTTCATGGTTCCTATAGAGTTACCTATTCATAAATAGTTTTCAGCCCCAAAACTACAACCCAGTTCACCCGAACAATCATTAAACTCCAAGCGGTTCAGGGCCTTCGAGATGTTTCTCTGAGGAAGCCGAAGTATGACCTAGAGCAGTGAAACTTATGCAGGAGCTCCTCAAAAAGCCGTTGGATCCGAACAAAGTGAGCGACACGGGCTACGCCGCACTGCCGCTGGGACCTGCCTCTAGCCCCAAACCCTACACAAAATAGTGGCTATACAAACCCTGAACCCATCCTAGACCTTATCAAGCCCATAGTTATTGATATTACAAGGAAGGGTTTTGGTTTAGGGTTTCGAGACTTGCTCTAAAGTTTACGCTTACGGGAATAGGGCTTAGGTCTTGCGTATTTGGGCTTTGGGTTTCGGGTTTAGGTTGGCTCAGGGCTTCTGGGGCATAGGGAGTATACGTTTTCAGGGGCAGAAGGGTTGGGATTCAATCAAGGACTGTACCATGAACGCTGCCTGAACTGCGAACCCCTGAGGTCCAAAATCTTTGAACCCAATCTCATAGGAGACCAAAAGGGGTAGCCTATGGGGGTTTAGTAGGGATTAGGGTTCCCAGAACAGGGTTCATATTGAGGAATCCCTACCCCAAATATCTTAAGGCCCCCTTTTGGCCTCCCATCAGAATCCAGGTAAACCAGGGCCCCTCTCCGATCATACGGTTGATGATATACATCCTGCATGACCCATAATAAGGAATATACCATAATTCCCATAGTTTGGTGTCATTAAGGTAATGCAGGACAGGATTTTTATCATCAACAGTATAAACAGTCGAGCAATGAACTTCTTTCGCTCCAAAGTTCCCCTGAAGTGCCTCGAACCCCAAACTATGAGCCACGCAAACCTCCCAATACAACATTTGCAAATGGGTTGGTTAATGTACGTCTTGGATACAAACCCACGAAAGCCTAACCCAGTCGTTTGAGCACCTTCATTATGAGAAGTCAAAGTATCACCCGGACGAGTTGCTGAAGGCCTCACAAACCAATGCTTGCGCAGCACGCTAACGCATTTTACACACCGACGAAACTGACGAAAACCTATTTTCCTTCGCGGCTGTTGGCTTAGGATGTATTGGCCGTATAGGGTGTAGGTTCTAGGGTTTACGGTAGTAAGATACTGCGTCAACGGTACGTTTCCGATCTATATAGCTGCAGGGTTCCAGAGGCAGTTGGGTTTTGCTACATCTGTTGAAACCATGTAAATACGTCAGATTCCAGACCTTGCGTTTCAAAACCAATCCTTAATAAGTTCAATCCCGCAGACCTTACGTCCTAAATACCGGATGTTGAACCCCAAACCCTAAACTCCAAAGCCCCGACATGTCGGGCCCCTGAAACCTCTAAATCTGGAATGGGCTGCCGAGCTTGAGACCTTAAGCCTTTAGTTTCTAGGGGCGTAAGCTTTACCTGCGGCCCCAAACCCTTCAAAAATGTAGGTCATGACCCCGCTGGTTTTCATTGGAGTCCTTCAACACAGCCGATTTTTGGATCAATACAGGTAAACTTCAACTTATCAAACGAGGCATATGGCAGTGGAGCGTGGCCGAGAGGACGTGACCACACTCCTCCTCACTGCGAAGGCTCGCGGAGAGCCCAAGAGCAAAAATTGAGGACCCGAAAAGGACATAAGTGGCTTCAATGTAAGGGGGCTTTTATGGGATATCCCTATCCTAATCGTTGCTTTTGTGCTTTTTTGGTGACTTAAAAAAGTTTATTCAAGCCTTGGATGCTTTTGTACAGGTTTCGCGGAGTTTTACAAGCGTTCTTGAACGACTGTCAATATGTTGCATATGGGCTGTGTTAGAGTTTGATACGGTTCACAGAAGTCCATATGATATAGCGCAACCTTGAGGTTGCCAGTTGAAATTGGGGATTTGATGTAGCTGTTGATGGACAATAATACTGCGTCACTACAAGTGCCCTTATGCAGTACCATGCTAAGCGCGATGGATAAGAGGGGGTTTGTCCACCAGCACAATAGGGAAGGCTTGCGGGCCGAAACCCTGTAAGGGATCTATAAAGGTTCGTTTAAGGGGTCCTTTAAGGGATCTATAGGGGTTCCTTTAAGGGGTCCTTTAAGGGATCTATAGGTCAAAGTGATGCCTATGTATATTGAGTAGACCGAGTAGTAGAGTAGGCAACCTTTAACCTTTTTTGGGCAGTATAGTCCCCATATAATCCCTATATAACCAAGAAGGTTAACCTTTGGTTCCCCGTGATACCTGACAGGTAGGTAGTAGTAGAAAGTATAGCATTGCATCCATTGGTTAAAACTTTGGTTCCATACGTGTTAAACTAATGCAAGCATGTATACATAAGACCATAGAGCAAGGACAAGAATAGCAACAGGCACGAACATAATGTGCTGAATACAAGTATATATAAATGTAACATGATTGGGCATAAAATGTTCAAGTGTAGTTTACTTACAGACACATACAGCACCCCCACCCTTAAACCCTGAACCCTAAACCCTAAACCGCTCGAAGCCGGAGGCAGACGTGGACTTGCGAAGTCGTCAAGGAGTCACGGCGCTCAACGTCGCCGTGCTGCATCTCGGAAGCAAGAGCTCGGGACCCCAAACGACCTGCCTGTTTAAGGACGTTATAATGTATACTACTGTTGATGATATAAATCCTGCATTACTTTAAGGACCCTAAACTATGGGAATTATGGTATATTCCCTATTATGGGTAATGCAGGAATTATATCATCAACCGTAGTTATATAAGGAAATCATAGTAGGGAACCCCCCCAAAAGGAAGGTTCTATAGGGTCCGGGGAGGGGTTGGAAGCTTGAGGGCTCCAGGGTTTCAGGTGTCTAAAGGTTTTTTTTTTTTTTGTTGTGGCCTTTATTGGGGGGGGGGTTAGCGGCTTAAGAGTTATGGTATAATGGGACATGTTGGGCAGGGTGTAGTGCCACCCCGACGTTTTAATGAAGGGGCGTCGGTTAAGCTAGCATAGCAAGTGGGGTTATCGAGTTTAGAATCCAAGGCTTTAGGGTTTGTTCGGGTGTTGGGGCTGCAGGCTTTCAGGCATAAGGGTTCAGTTTTGGGACCAAGAGCTCTCAGGAACTGGTTCAGACTTGAATATCGCAATGAGCCCAGACCCCCCGGGAGGATCTAGAAAGTAGATCCCCTAATTTGGGGCCCTATACTACTAAGGGTACTTTATAGGAACCCCATTAAAGGATCTACTTTTTGGATCCTCCCGGGGGTCTGGGAGTTTGTTTAGAGTCAAGGTTGCCGGTGTGTTGAGGTGTTCTCAGCTTCACGGTATGCAAGTTGGGGTGTCGACTCGAAGGATCAGGGACCTAGCGAGTATAGCTCGCAAGCAGGGTTATATTATATATATATATATATATATATATTCCTTCAACTAACTTATAATACCTCATAACCCACCTATGTGCTACGTACTCATGCAGCGTTTACGCAGGCCCGACACCTCTAACCTGAATGCTTATGGACCTACCTAGACCCCCCCCAACTACCCTCTAAGATACCCTAAAGACACACTATTAAGCCCTCCATTAAAGGGCCCTTGTTTGGGGGTCCTGGTCTATATGGTCTATGGAGCCTAAACCCTCAACCCTAATTATGGACCTACTGACCTCAGACTGGGCCATGTGGCAGTGGTGCGGTTGCTGCTTGATGCCGGTGCTGACCAGGACCGAGAACTCTAACAATCAGATGTTGGTTCTTCGTTCAGTTCACGGCTTACTTTTGTCTCCTTAGGATTTTTTGAAATTGTCGTTCCTATACAACCCCCAAAAATATTGAACATATTAGTGGTATTATGGTTCTAAGGGGGGTGTGGCTTAAGGTTTGCCGTACAAGGGAGATTCATATCGGGTTTAGTGTTCAGGATCTTTCGATTTACCAGCACACAAAGTCTACGCGGTATGCGAAGAGCTACACCCTCCGCCTGTGAGGCAGGTATGCGGTATCGTGCGCCGAGGATGATGTTCTCTCGCAGTGCGCATCCAGTTTGTGACCATATGGGAATTTCCGAAAGTAGGGTACTTATTCTAGGAGTCCTTATAATAAGGATCCTACTATCTAGGGTACTATATTAGGGTCCCCCATTTTTGGAAACTCCCATATTGGTCGGACCGGGGTACCTGAATCTGCCGGTGTTGATGGTCCGGACCCCTACCCTGGGAGGCCAGGGAAGCCTTATGTAGGTTTAAAACCAAATCCGTTACTACACGCCGTGTAGAGCCCGTTAAAAGCCCTATACACCCTTGTATCTAGCTCGCAACAAACTGTGAGAGCCAACTGGGCCTCTGGAGGCCCCGCGACCCCCGCGTAAGTGTGTCTGGCGTAAGCCATAGTATGCTTCTGCAATCCCCACGAAAGGAAAGTACTTCAAGCACTTCTGAGTATTGTTCGTCCCAGACCGCCCGATGAAGCCGGTGTCCCTGTCCACTTCTCAGTCACTTCTCATCACTTTAACAACCCTACACCCTACGCCTAATGCAACACCTAAAGGACTCTGGAGCCCCACATGCTCCCTAAACACGCCTGCTGCACATAACACGAACACCAAAGCCCCGAAGCCCCGAAACCTTAAGGCCTAAGCCCCTAAACCTTAAACCCCCAAAGCCCTAAAGACCCTCAACCCTCAAACCCTAAGCTAACCATTGGTATTGGGGGAGCCAAGGAGCCAGGGATGATTATACTCCCTACTAAATAAGGAGCTAAAGAGCCAATGGAACCCCAAAAGCACTGGTTAGTAAGTACTGCAACTGGAGATTTCCAGGATGCGGCTTGCGGATGGACTGGGAAAGGCCCTTCACCGCTGCACGTGGCCCGGCCTTTCGTGGTTCAGGGGGGGGTTTTCTTTGTCATAGTTGGGTTTCAGGGGGGGTTAAGGGTTTATAGGGCTCAGGGCTTAGGGTTGGGGTTTAGGGGTTTAGGGTCTAGGGTTTTCTTTGTCATAGTTGGGTTTCAGGGGGGTTAAGGGTTTATAGGGCTCAGGGCTTAGGGTTTAGGGGTTTAGGGGTTTAGGGTCTAGGGGTTTCTTTGTCATAGTTGGGTAACATTTTACATGTTTATGGCTACTTAAACCCAATGAGGAATAAAAATTCAAAATCCTATGCCAACCATGAACTAGGTTTAAGGCTTCAGGTTCAGGGTCCAGGGTTTAGGGTTTGGAGTTTACAAGGCTTTCGGGCTGGGGGTATTTGGAGGTAAAATAGGGGGTTTAGGGGCCTGGATCTCTTGGGACTAGGGCAATGTACTTCTAGCTCCACGGTCGACCTGGTTACCCAGAGACTCCAATATTCCTTAATTAAGGAATATTCCTTAAATTATAGTAGGGATCCCTAGTATGATTCAAGGAAGATTCCTTAAATTATAGTAGGGATCCCTAGTATGATTCAAGGAATATTCCTTAATTAAGGGATGTTGGAGTCTCTAGGTATGAACCTGCCTGACGCTGCCTAAAGCCCCGTGCCAGGGCCGTAGGCTTTAGCTTAGGGACCCAAAAAGCACATATGCATAAGCATGTTATAGGGATATCCCTACCTTATTGGGGTTCTTTATAAGGGGGTTTATGTGGGATTTCCCTATCCTATGTTCGCGTATGTGCTTTTTTGGGCCCCTATCAGCAGGTCTTTTGGATTCGGAGGGTTTGGGGCTTAGGGGCTGTGGGTTCTCGTCGGTGCGTTTCGCATGACGACCCGCGCTCGCTCCTGGGGGGAGTTGTGCAGCAATTTTTCTTGGAAGCAGGCCCTGAAGTGAGGCATTGTTGGGGCTCGTCCAAAATGCGCGTTCTTTTCGTGAAGAAGGAGTCTCCCTGAGATTAGAGGCTGCAAAAGTAAGGGTTTAGTTATAAGGTGTCTGGTAATGAATTTCTATTCGTAAGGGCTGGAAGCATATTTAAAATGCTGCAAAGTATGATGCTTGATTCAGGAGTATCGAGCTCTGGGTTAGGCTTCGAATTGGGAATGATGTTTGGCTTTGTAGTTTCTCTGGCGCACGCAAGTTCGGATAACACTGTTGTTCTGCCGTCGTGATCCTCCGGCCAGCCGTGGAAACAACTCAAGGGCTGTCGTTGGGCTTTTGGTCCCTGGCTCCTTTTTCGATGACTTCGAGCATGAGCATGCAACTTACTTACCTTTGGATAGTAGGGAATGGATAAATGGGGTAAATTATAACTACTATTACTACCATTCTTCCATTCCCTACTTAACCAAAGTTAAGCTTAAGGGTTTGATTGTCGACGAGTAAATGGACAAACATTGCCCAGCGACTAGATTCTCCCGTAGGAAGCGCCGTATCACAACCGATAACGCCCCGACCAGATCGAAAGGTCTCAGGCAGAACAAACCCAGAGACTCCTATATTCCTTAATTTAGGAATATTCCTTAAATTATAATAGGATCCCTAATATGATTTAAGGAATATTCCTTAATCAAGAGCTGTTGGAGTCTCCGGGAAACTCCATAAGAACGCCGTGCTGTAGACGTAGATTCAGGGTATTGCCTCGAAAGTGTTTGTACTAACGATAGTGAGACTTCGAAGTCGCTTGACCGTACCTGTAGATACATGGGCTAGAGTTGGGTCATGCGGTTGATGATATAAACCCTGCATTTCCCGTAGCCCGGAATATACCATAATTCCCATAGTTTAGGGTCCTTAAGGTAGTGCAGGATTTATAATATGGGTAGTTGTCAAAATGATGGTCCCTGGTCCCTTTGTGGGTACCCTAAATATTAGGTGCCGTAATTAAGCCTAATTTTGACAACCACCCATATCATCAACCGCAAGTAGCTCAACGGTTTTCGACGAAGGTCGCCTCGAAAGATGGACTCGTCGAAGTGGCGGAGCTGCTACTGGCGGCGGGTGCCGACCTGGAGACCTGGCCCAGTTGTCTCTACTTAGGGACACAAAAAGCACACAAGCATAAGCATTTTATGGGGATATCCCTACCTTATTGGGCTCCATTATACGGGGTTTATATGGGATATCCATATCCTGATTTTTGCTTATGTGCTTTTTTGGGGGGGCCCTATCTACGGCTTAGGGTTTCGGGTTTAGGGTCCAGGGTTTCGGGGTTTAGAGTTTAGGCATTCGTGGTTTGTTGAATTTCGAAACGGGGGGGGCGCACGGCTCTTCATCAGTTGTTGAAGTGCTTGGCGTGTTGCTTTGTTTTAACGGTTGTCAGGGGGGTTGTTGTAAGGCCTCGGTGACTTCGGATTTCGGTCCCACAGTGGGTGGCTTGCCAGCTCTTAATTGGAACTGGAGGTTTCGGCGCGAGAGAGTTTCCAAGCATGTATGCAGGAGTTCTTCGTCGGTCGACCCGCAAATCCACTGGGGGCCCCACTGAACCTTGAAGCCTTCAAGGCAAACCTAAACCCTCAACCCCCGTAAAGCCTGAATGTAAAAACCTGATTAAGAAACCCTGGCCCTACAACCCGAAATTGTAGGATTCATATACGGAACCCCAATAAAGGCCTAAGGTTTCTTAATCAGGTTCCTACATTAGCCCCCAAACCTTGAACCCCGCGACCGTCAAGCCCGATCTGGGCTTGGGAGAGTCGGGCTTTTGGCTCCATCCATAGGAGGCTAAAAAGGGTGTTTAGCCTATGCGGGTTTAGTAGGGATTAGGGTTCCCATAATAGGGTTCATATTAAGGAATCCCTACCCCCAAGAATCTTAAACCCCCCCTTTTCACCTCCCATCATCCATCGCTCTGCTGCCGTCCTGGCTCCTGGAAATGCTGCAGCTTGAAGCCCCGAACTTCTAGCGGAAGAGACGCGATTCTCGGTTAGGGCCTCAACAATATTTAGTCGAGGATGTATGGAAAGATTCGATGCCTAAAGCATGCCATTTTAGGAGCTGAGGGCCTGAGTAGTACTCTTGCTAGCTATTCCGGCCTTGACATAGTGAGTCTACCACGGTCAGACTCCTCGGAACACCTGGAACCTGCAAAGCCGAAGCCTTCAGACGTCTCACAGACACCTTACCTCCAACCCATAACGTGATAAATCGGTTGTATAGGCATCTATCACCTTGGGATTACAAAGCCCCCATAAGCTTCACGGAATCCGATGCTGCGGAAATGCTGCGGCTGCCTATCTGCCAAGCAGAAGGTGAAGCCAGGACCAGACCTCGAGGAGCCACTGAGCGACTCCGGCCGAAGGCAGAAAGTTGAGGGACCCTTAATGGGGACCCCTATACCCTATAATGGGCTATATAGTGGGTATATAATAGCTATATTAGGGTATAAGGTAAAAGCCAGAAAGTTGGGGAATATGATGATCCTAAACCCTGTATGGTAAATTATAGGGTATCCTGCCCTGAAACCATATTCCAACTTTCTGGAGTTCCCTTTAGGGGTATGGAGGCATTTCTGAGTTAATGAACGGTGTCTACTTGAGGTAAACGCTAGACCCAAAGCCCGAGACCAAACCCATCGTGCGCAATGAAGTTAAACCACTCAGAGGATCTTCGGACCCACATCGCGGTGTAAATTTGCGGGGCGGGCGTGGATGGTTAAGTGTTTGGGATTGGGATCAGGGGCATGGTCTTGAGTGGACTAGTGAGTGTGAGAGGTTTTGGTCTTTCAACAATGGCCATGCGTCGGCACGCAGGGGGGGGGGGGCGGGGGGGGGGGGTACATGGGTACTGATGTAATGTTCGTGCCCGCCGGGACAAGACTAATTTGGGGTCGTCCTCGCGACCGAAACATCAATAGTGGTCATGTAAAATTGACCACGAATACAGGTATTTAGCAAAAGACTTCGTAGTAAGAGATGAACGACAGTACCCCAGTCATGGTCCGATCCTCAACTTGGAGAATCATGGGACTTAGTGAGTAAGGTTATAAGTACCTTAACTCGGGTTATAAGTATAGTTACCTTACTTATAACTCTAGTTACTAAGTCCCATGATCCTTTAAGAAACCTTGAAGCCCTTCAGGCCTCGAACCTCCCAAAACATCCAAAACCATAGGGATCCTACTATTTGGGGTATTCGGGTCCCCTGTTTTCGGAAGCTCAGACCTTGAAAGACTTTCAGAAATCTTTCCTACAACCACTGATGACCTTGCTCTTACCCAAAAAGAATCTTCAACCCTAAACCCTAAACCCTAAAACCCTAAACCCTAAACCCAAAAAGAATCTTCAACCCCAAACCCTTAACCCCGAACGCCCAAGGCCCAAAACCCTAAACCCAGACCCCCTTTGGAGGATCCAAAAAGTAGATCCCTTAATGGGGGTTCCTATAAAGTACCTTAGTGGTATAGGGCCCCACATTAGGGGATCTACTTTTTAGATCCTCCCTAAATTCTGGGAACCTTGAACAAACAGGTCGGAAGATGCTGGAAAGCCAGGGGGTCTCCTTCGAGGGATCAGCTGCAAATACTTGGCCGGCGAGTCTTGGGCACGGATCAGGCGCAAGGAGTGCCCAACATTGAAATCGATACAGTATGGGTCATTGTTTTGCTCATTAAGACTACTCTTGTTATTCTGGTTGTAATCAGCATAAAAACAAGATGACCATAAATTTCTATTCTTCTTATCATGATAAGTACTTTTTTTACTGGTCTCATTTTACTACTAATCAGTGTCAATACCAGTTCTATGATTATATACCTCTCAAGGGCTCTCAACCCTGCGCCCCCAAACTTAACACCTAGTCATATTTAAACTCCAATGAAAGACCCTCCGAAATTCTTGAAGATGCCCTTTCACAGCAGATTCGTAGAGTCTATCCCACAACCTGGATTCAAGCGCTTCTCTTACAGCCAAGACCGCAAACGGGAGAGGGGAGGTTTGTGCAAACCTTCGGCGTCCTTAACAGTGCCGGAAACGCGAAGCTGAGGACCTCCTGCAGGAGATGGAGAATGTGGGCTTAGCTCGATCCTCTCCTGTTTACGCCATCGAAGAGAGTGTCATTCGGAAGTTGCTTCGACCTCCAATGCCCCAAATTTTCGTTTTGGACATAGGGTTTAGGGTTTAGGGTCCTTTAGTTGTTAATTTTGGGCTCGCAGATTTAAGCTGTTATTACTTGGATTGTTGGTAAGGAAGGGCGAGAAGCTGATTTGTCCAAAGGACAACAGGCTGGGCACTTCTTACGTCGATGCGCTTGCGGATGGTGATGCCGGCCTTTCCAACTTCATGCTTTCCTACAGCTGGGGCTATCCTGTCGGGGACATTGCAGACACACTTTCTGACTTTTTTGGTGAAGAGAGTCTACACGAGTTCATTTGGATATGCTGTCTGTGCATTAACCAACACCGGGAGACCTGGCTGATCTGTATAAGTCTCATTTGTCCCCTCATCGCCACTGTCACCATGCCCTTCTCCTTAAATCCTGTCGCACCATACTCAATAGCTATAGAAACAACAAACTATCCAAAGACCTCACTAATCTGGGTCTTTATGGCTTCTCCTCCAAAACAGCAAGCAGCCTCAACGCCCAATCTTTGGCTAGCTGTAAGGTTGCGTGGGAGTCCGATACGAGTCTTAATCCAAAAGAGTAGGGTTCTGTAAAGGATCAAGAAGGGCTGTAACATTAGGGGCCCATCTGAAGCCCTACATTGCAGTCCCTATCTCCAAAACATCCACACTCCAGAACCATGAAAGCCCTGACCATCAACCTGAGTCCTTATGAGGCTAGGTGCCCTTAATCCCAAATCTCTACATTTTTTGCGGTTTTGGGTTCGGTGTTTTCGGTGACAGGGGTTACGGTTTCACGCTTTTTGCCTCGAAAGCCTAAGCTAAACACCCGACACACCACCACATCCAAGGTGAAAGAGGCCCAGGCGGCTGGGCAAACCGTGCTGCTTAGCTGACTGTCAGGGGGCTCTTCTTTATGGGTTGTTAGGGTATCGTCTCAAGTTCTAGCAGGAGTGCTGCCTCAAGCACCAAAACCCTCAACGTGAGGTCCTTTGCGGAGTTCGAAGAGGCTTTTGGGCGTCGCGTCGAAGGCGTTGGCCACATACTTGCCATGATGAGCCCCTGGCAGGACCATGGTTGTTCAGGGCTCACCCTAAACCCTAAAACCCTAAACTCTAAATCGTTCGGTTTGTTGTTTGGGCTTCTAGGTTTGCCCTGTCAACAGGAACACACAGTGCCAAGAGGTTCAGGGTTTAGGGTTCAGGGCCGAGGGTTTAGGGTTGCGGTTCCAGGGTGTACGTGCTGCTTCGGAACGTTGGGGAAGGCAGGAACAGCAGAGAGTGACTCCGTCGTTCTCTAGTAGAGCAAGAGCCACCTCAAGCGCTGCATTCCAGGATCCAACCCCAAGAGCCCAGATACCCGTGCGGTGGGTAAGAGTGGGATTATAGGCACTACAGGTTGCACATGGGCGACATCCTGTGACTGGTGACCATAAACCGTCAACCCTAAACCATGATTAAGTCACGATCGTAGGCCCTCAGTTCAACCAATGGTTCTGCCATTTCAGGGAGGATTTGCTGTAGGATAATACTGTAGCAGGGATAAGGACTTGAGTGACTCAGATCGCTAGATGTGGAGAAACGCCGCACCTTTATCTGGGTGCTGGTGAAGGAGCTTGGTAGCGAAGTCACGATAGTGAAGTGTTTAACGAAATAGAATGTTTTTCTGATGTTCGTAGCTTGAAATTGCACTTGAGCTCCTTCATAAGAACCCTATAGGCCTTCTCTTTCTTTTCGGGTGATTTCATTCGGCTCAGTTCCTTAACCGGAACCTTGTAGACCACAATGGCAGGATGGGAACCCCTTCACGAGTTCACTGTGTGACCCAGAAGGTCGATATACAATTATGGCATTCGGGCTCAAAACGCCATCCTCGTTATGGATTTTCGAGACCTACTACCATAATCGTAGTATATATGGATTCTCTCCTGGTAGTACATACTATACATGTTTGCGTGAAATGCAGACAGCATGGCTCTCAGACAATTACAGTAGCCCTGAAACGCCCCCACAACATGACATGATAATCTTCAACTTGGCCCTCTTCAACCTAGCCCTCTACCGAGACCCCCGGGAGGATCCAAAAAGTAGATCCCTTAATGAGGGTTCCTATAAAGTACCCTTAGTAGTATAAGGAGGGCTCCAATTTAGGGGATCTACTTTCTAGATCCTCCCGGGGGTCTCGGTAGCTGTTCCGGTTCTATTCTGGATTTAGCTTCGGCACGAGTGCGCTCCCAGGAGCCCCGATACATTCGACGCGTTTGGCGGGGCGCTGAGATCTCGACCTTCCGTAGTGTTCTGAGCAGCTTTTAGCATCTCCTAGGATGCCCAGTAGTACCCTTATTCCTTTTTTGTAGTCCTAGGTTCCTTATAAATTACCCAATACCAAAAGGAGAGGCCTTTTTATTCTTGGGTTACTGGGTATCCTAGCATCTCCCTTGACATGTGCGAATACCCGTCACTGTACTAGCTCCGACTTACTGTGCTGAGTCGAACCAGCGTCCATGTGGGTGGTTGCCAATATTAGGGTCCCTTTTTGGGTCCTTAGTATAATACGGCACCCAACTATTTAGGGCACCCAACAAGGGACCCTAATTTTGACAACCACCTATATGAATCCTGGAATGAATATTCCTTAAATCATATTAGGGATCCTATTATAGTTTAAGGAACCTTCCATTTTTGAGAACCATCTATGGTAATACCTGCCCAGGTGCGTCTTCGAGTTTAGCATCGCGATCAAGGCCGGGCCTGAAGGTTCAGAGCTAGGCCCTACTATCGGACGTGTTTTAGGTACCAACCAGTCAGACAATGCGAACGGACTGCGATGCCTTGTCAAGTTCTAAGGTGTCACTATAAGAGCTGTGAGCAAGACCGTGTAAAGTGCAAGAGAAGGGGGCACGCTACGCGTCCCTCGACTCTAAGGGGGCATGCTACGCATCCCTCATCTTTACCTTTCTATGTGACCGCCCACGCAACGTTTGGCTCAAGTCAATGCCCATAGCTAAGTGCTATATGTGTCTTCTATCCTGAGCAATCAGAGCTATCCCGTTGCACAGACGAACCGCCGCCGGCAGTGAGTGCAAAAGGAACGGCCGCCGGTTCTGCCTGCATAGGATTGCACGTGTGGAAGTAAGAGGGAGAGACAGGGTCCAGTCTGTGGAGAGTGCAAGCCAGCCACACCTACATTCATTACAGCTCTGGTGGGGAGAGCAGCAACCAAGTCGAGATCAATCCCCCACGCAGGTTATCAGCCGTACGCGGCTCTGCCTTTCTACAGCAACGACTACTTGATCTACTACGACCACAATGAACTCAGGATCAAGCCAAGATACGACAATGACTTTCGGTGCCGATGTGGCAGCGCCAGCCGTTGGTGAGTCAACAGCTGATGACACAGTGGTGCAATCCGTTGATAGCTCCACGGAAGATGACAAAGGTCAATCTTCTGCGCTTGCCATTGCAAAGGCAGTTCCCAAGGGGAAAGCAAAGAGTCTACCAAGAGCATCTACGCCTTCGCGTCCGACATCCACAGGTTCGAGGACGGGCAAGGCTTCAGAACGACGGGCCGAAGCGTCTGGTTTTCAGGCACCTCGGACTACGTCCAGGGCCAAGGACAAAGGAGTGAAGACCTTGGAAAAGAAGTCAAGACCATCATCTTCGAGAAGCTCTTCAGCACGATCGAGGACTTCGGCTACTCGTGGGCGTGACAAATCCATGACTTGGAATCGGATGGTTACCAATCAACCACGTGATGCTGACGATCTGGATATGACTCTGGACACTATCCCAGCACGTGGTGATGCATCATCGGTGACCACGCCAGCCATAGCCGATGGTCCGAATGCCTATCAGGAACTGACGATTTCGCAACAGCTCGAAGCATCTAACCTTGCACAGCAGATGTACTATCGCAGTCAGATGCAAGAATACGAAGGAGTCGTTCAGACCCTGATGGACAAGATCAAGGAGATGCAACAAGAAGATGAAGGATCTGGAATTCGCATTGAAGAATTGGAACGACAACGTGACCATGCATGCTTAGCCATGAGGCACATCAACAATGTCAATCAGGAGATGAAGCGAGACTATGAAACAGCTTTGTTTCGCATGGATGAACAGAACTCTGCTCAACAACGTCAAGCACATGCCGTTGCCGAGGAGTTAGCTCAACAGCTACACGTGTTCCGCACGGAGGCAGCCACTAACTTTGTGCAGTTGGAGGCAAGAGCGCAAGGCGATGGTGAGCTTATGGCACGTGAGTATGAGCGTCTGACTCATGAACTTCATGAACATGCCAGAGAGAACTTGGTCCTCCGGTCAAACACAGCAAGTTCGGAACAAGCCTTACAAGCAATGCAGGAACGATTCCACTTGGTCAAGAACCAGGAGTTGCGGGCTGTGAACGAGATCCAAGGGCTAGCTGGAAACAGCGCAGCCATTGATCAAGAACGATTTCGGCTTCGCGAACGTCTTGGTGAAGAGGAAGAGTACCGCAAAATGGCTGTGAAGAGGATGCAAGAAGCAGAGGACCGACTTCATCAGAATGAAGATCATGCAAGGCGATCATTGCCTACCTTGCACGACGAGCTGAGTGAACTCAGGAAAACGCTCAAAGCACAAGAAGATCTTCAAGCGAGGACACGCAGCGAATTGGAGGCAGCGCGAAACTCCAATTACGGAGGAGCGACACGGCCTTCAAGCATGCCCATGTCTTCGAGGACTACTGAGTCTGGCTGGGAGCACGTAGGAAAGGAAGTAGTGCCTGCATTTTCCGTAGGAGGTGAGGTACGATCCCCTGAAATACGGTCCCCAAGTCAAGTTAGTCCAGTCGCCAAAGAGAAGTTCGCATTCTCGGAATCGGACAAGGACAAGAACCTTGTGATGGATGGAATTCCATTCACCGGTGGAAACTTCTTCACTGGCCGCAGTTCAATGCCAATCGTGGCGGATGCAATGCCCGAGCACTACGTGCCAGGTATTAGCAGCCCAGCACTTGCGCGTTCCACGCCTAGTGCAGCCACTTTGTTCGGCATACCAAGCGGATTTCATGGGAAAAGTGATGCGGCAGCCGTGCGTGATCGACAGCTACGCGAACTCTTGGAGGATCGCGGGATGTTGGGATCGAAGTCCACAGCATCTGCCAGCTCCTCAAGACCTGTTGGTGTCGACGGTATCACCGCATCTACGAAGGGCAACGACCTCATCGGTCCCCCTATTGCCTATGACGATTCCATTCATGAAGCAAGGAGACGTCAGATCGAGAAAGAGGTCGCGGAACGGTACGAGGAGAAGATTGCCGATCTGCGAAGCGAAGTACTCAAGGCCCAGAAAGCCGAACAACGTCTCAGAGCTGATCGTGATGAGTGGAAGTTATTCGCTGAAACGATTCAGGAGGATAATGGAGACGATGACGGTGACGAGGCTGGCGACGAGAACGAAGATGGAGAGCACGATGAAGGAACCGGCACGGGGTATGACCCTCCTGACCCGCCTGACGATGATGATGATAAGAAGAAAAGCGGTGGAGGCAAACCTGAATCGGATCCTGGCTCGCATGCGCGTGATCCTGATGGAGACGCGGATCCTGAAGTCACAGAGGTGAGAATTTCCAGGAGGGAAGCCGACAAAGTGACCGTTCCTCCATGGCCTACTCTCACTCATCTCAACAACTGGCGATCCGTGTGCACGGCCAATGTCTTAGGAGCATCAGCCGACCCACATCATGAGGACTGGATGTTATGGCTGGCACCAGCGTTCAACCCATTCCCTGATGTCGAAGCATTGAATGATTCAGGACACAAGAAGTTCAAGAGCATAGACGTCAAATTGGGGATCGCCATGGTCGCAATGCTACGTGCCGGTGGTGACAAATCAGCTGACCTGTACCTTGAGGT